GGACCCCTCATTTTTATTTCAAAATTTAAGTTCCTATAATATAAACAATCAATAGGCAAAGTTTCACAAAAATCTCAGTGCAGGTTCTATTTCATTGCAATGACCTTAATTGTGACAGTCCTGGCAATTCTGGAGACGACGAGGCGGAATTGACAGAGTGGCTTTTTCTTGCAAAAAAAAGGAAAACTACCAGTCCCAAAATAAATTCAGATGTCGCGTCAGCGGAAGGAAAGCAAGGCTTTCTAAGGCTTCTAAAGTAAGGGAGCGTGTTTCGTAAGTTTGTAACTTAGACACATTTACTATTTTTTCCTGTCTTCGTTGCTGTTCTTTATAGCTGAATAACTAAAATTGGCCCTTACAGTCTAGGACATCAAGAGGTCATTGTGATATCGGTCTATACCCGCTACGAGGTCCTGCGACCTTCTCCACCTTCTATTTTTTCAAGCGATTATCGATATCGAACGCGAACTCAGCTTCTTATGTTTCTTCTGTGATGTACATTTCTGGTGCCAAGTTTAAAGAACACTGCTTTAATATTTCTAGAGTTGTTCTCGATTGAGTGTTGTGCTGTTTTAGTGGAACCACGTATGACGTCATCACTCTCCTTACAAAAACGTAAACATCTCTTAAACGAAAAAAGATATTCCAAAAAGGAAAACGCCATTCTTTTTTACTTTGAAAAGTCTTTCAAATAAGCAGGAATTATTTTTCACTTCATAGACACTTTAAAACAAACGGCTTAATATACCTCCTGTTATGACCAACTGTTACTTCCAAACATTTGTTTAGAAATGGAACTTTCTTCATCCAAAAAGACTTGATCTTACCTACAAGACCACACCATTTCTTAAAGGGCTCCTTTTCATCTTTCTTCTCTCCCCTAAAGTGGAAAAAATGAATAAGTCAATTTCTAACTTACCATTACAAGTATAGCAGTCAAGAATCTTTGAAACAAAATATAAATATTACAAAAGTTCCTTACCAGTGAACAACAGTATGAACTTCGTCACAAGCATGAGCAACAACATTTTGCCTATCATGCAGCTGTGAAAACATCTCCTTGAACTTTATGTCCCCCACTAATGACTCTGGACTTCCACATAATAACTGAGCTGTGATATTTCCCTCGATGATATGTTTATCGTGTTTCTCACTTTCTTCAATATATGTAACTTCAGAGCCAAGGTTCCTCAAGTAACCAACCAGGTCTTTAACAATTGAACTTAAAGGTAAAACCACAATAACTACCGGAAATGCAGGCATGTTAAGACCCTGGTCAAGCAACACTTTGAAAACACTTGGTAAAATCTGAAAGGTCAAGCTTCTACCTTTTCCAGTGGGCAGGGCAGCAAATACATCTTTCTTGCCAACGAAATGTTCTACAATTAACCTCAGGCTATAGATCTTGAAAGTCAGGAAAACACTTCAGACTTTCAAAAATCGCTTCCCTTCTTTACTAGTTAAATCAAGGTCAGCCATCTTCTGCGACAACTACTACGCGACTTCGCGCAGGAAAGCTTACCTGCGCGAATGCATTTGCAGCTCCGTATACTTGAATGAACGTTCGAACGTTACACAAAAATACCGCGCGCAGCGTGGAAATTTTTAGTCGGATATTCAACAAATAAAGAAGCCTCGACTGTGCTCTGTTCTGTTGTAAAGCACTTAGGAAGCGGTAGAGCACGAAAG